GGTCAGGGGGCGCTGGCGTACGGGCTGCCTCCCTCCCTCAGATCTGCCCTCCTGTCCAGGGGTTGAAGGTGGGCTGGGTGGGGTTTAGCGTAAGGGCCCGTGCATTCAGTGACAGCTGCTATTAGTTTCCCTGGTCTTCACTAGACAGTGGGGTGGTTCTGTATCCAACAGCACCCCCGCACAACACACACACAAAACACGTTTTTGATTTCCAAGTCTTCCAGAAACAGCTCCAGGTGGGGAGCCAGGAGGTGGAGGCTGAGCCCAGCAGATAGTAATTTGCTCTGTGGCTTGGGCAAGTCTCCTGCCCTTCCTTAGTCTGTTTCCCCTCCTAGTAAGGAGTGCCCTTTCTTGAGCACCTGCCCACTCCATGCCACGTTGTCTCATGAGGTGCTCCCACTCTACAGATGAGGAAACTGAGGCACAGGGAGAGGATGTGCTTTTGAGGAAGGGATGCTGCTGGAGGCGAGACCCACCTTGTCGCCCTTCCGTGGTCCCCCAGCCTCAGTGTCTGTCCAGCCCTTGCACCCCCCAGCTGCTGCCTCTTCCCTGCCTCCCTTAAGTAAGAGGCTGAGCTGTTGCTCCAAGGTCACTGGCTCGGCCTGGGAGGAGCTCAGACTGGAACCCAGACCCCTTGGCTTCTGGCCTTCCTCATGCTGGCCAGCAGGCTGGGCCTGTTCCCTGGGTGAGTCATGCCCCTGGACTTTGGCCTCGTCAGGCTCTCTGGCCTGAAGCTCGGAGAGGGGGCCTTTGTTAGGAAGAGGGGCTCCCTCCTCTGGCAGCAGTGGGGGGTCTGAAGCCATCTTCTCACTCTGCTCCATCCTAGGCCCCAGGGCCTGGCAACATTACTCTCCACCTGGCCTCTGCTGCCCTGACCTGAGTCTTGCAGAAGCAGTTCCTCAGGCTTCAGTGACCGCTCTCCTTCCACCACGCTTTCTGTCCCCTCCCTGGGTGACAGCTACGTTCAGTTAGCAGTGGGCACTTTGGGGAAACAGCATTTCCAGGTCACCCCTGCACCAGGCGACTCCCTTCCCAGCACCGTCTCCCCCCTGCCCCCCCAACCCCTGGCCACTGGGTTACTCAGAAGGGAGGCCACAGCGCCTCCCTCCTGGTGTCCAGGGACCAAGGTCACGCCCAGAGCCCTGTGTGCCTCCACCTCCTCCTGGGGCCAGTGGTGTTTGTCACTGGGGCAACGTGTGGCTGTGCCCAGTGCCGGCGGTGCTGGGGTGACATTCATGCCCTGTGAGCTGTGACGCCTCTGCAGGCAGCGGACAATACCACCCTAAGTGGTGGCGGTGATGTGGGGGCTGTCACCTGTCTGAGCATTCAAGGGGTGACGTGCTGTGTACCCATCCTGTAGTTGGAGGGAGGGCTCGTGGGGAAGGTCTGAGGTGGTGTCCCCTGCTTATGCTGTGGAGCAGGGGGTTGTCTGTACTTTTCTCACACCTGGAGAGAGAGAGAGAGCAAGAACTGTGCATCTCATATCTCCTTAGTGGGAGTGAGGGTGACAACCTGTGCTCCTGTTTCATCTTGCCTGGGGGTGTCAGATGTGTCCCTCATGTGTTTGGGGAAGAGAGGGTGTGTGCCCAGCTCCTCCTGGTAGGAGGTAGGCCCCGACTCACGCTGCCGCCAGGACTGCTGGCCAAGAGCGAGATGTCACCGAGCGCCCCTCATGCTGTTGTGGGGAGTGACACGTGTGATTATCTCATGCTGCTGGGAGATTGTCAGCAACTTGGGAACTTGTCTCTCACCCTAAAGAAAAAAACGTGTTGCCCGGTGGTATGGGGCTGACAGTTGGCAGGCCCTCTGCAGACCGCAGGCCCCCCAAGGGCTGGCCAGAGGATCTCCCCAAGGCACAGGGACAAGGGTGGGGGGGGGTCTCTGTCCCTCATGACCTACCTGCTGCCCAGGTGCCAGCCCTGGGGAGTGGCCCCCAGAGGCAAGACCCAGTGTTTTTCAGACAGCTCGGGAAGGGGCCTCTGGGGCTGGGGCAGGTGTGACTGGGGAGGTTGAGTGAGGGGCTGTTCGCATGCAGGCCTGGGGGACCCTATTCCCTGACTCTTCTGCCCCTGAAACTGTTAAACTAATTAAGGCTGTGGAGCCGCAGGATTAATCGGGGCAGCTCGGCGCGGGCCGGGAGCTCAGGTAGTCGATTAGTGCGCCGCGGAGGATATTGGATTTCTGAACCGCAAGTCAGCACTATTCGGGCTGTTATCTCTCTGAGGCTCGGGGGTCAGGAGGCGGGAGGCTCTGGGCACGCCGGCCGCCCCCGCCCGGCCAGCTCCTGAGTGTCCACTCCCCCTGCCCACACACAGCCTCTGGCCTGTGTGCCCGATGTCCCCGCCCACCCCAGCCCTCCTGCAGCTGCCTCTCGGTGGTGGCACCCCAGCCCTGTGCCTCTTCTCCCTGCAGCCCCTGGCTCGCCTCTCCTCTCCCCCTCAGGCTGGCGTCCTCAGCACCGCTGTCCCTCTCAGACCCTCCTGGCCCTCCGCACTCTGCCTCACTGACAGGTCCTCAGCCTCCGGCACCCCCCCCCCGGACCCCACTCTGCCAGCCTCCCTGTCCCCAAGCTCTGTGTGTGCCTGTGTGCACACGCTCAGCTGTCCCATCTGTCTGTCCCTCCCCTGTCTGTCTGTCTCTCTGTGCATCTCTCCTTCTCTCCCTCTCGCTTTTCCTCTCCCTCTGGCGCTCAATCTCTCTCCCTCTGTCTTTTCCTCTCTCTCTTGTGTGGTCTCGGCTGGTGTCTGCAACCAGAACAAATCTCCCCCAGCCAACACCCCCTGAACAAGGAGGCCAGAGCAGCTAATGGGAAACATGTGATTCTGCCTTCCGCCTGGAGCACCATGAGGGGAGCCTTAGTCCCAGCTCAGCCCCTGCTCCCCCTTGCCGCATTCTCCCCACCTCACTGTCCCCCACCTCCCATCTTCGCCCCCAGCCTGTGTGGGCACAATTGCAAGTTCCCTGGTCATTTACATTTCAGGGGGTGGGGAAAACTGACAGTTATCAGTTGGGGAGTATTGGGTTGTGAAGGGGCTAAGAGCAGCTTTGCTCCCTTGGCCCCCCGGCCCCCAGGGCCAGGCAGACCCCTGCAGACTCCCCCCAGCCCCACCATATGTGGGAGCACGGGGCCAAGATGAACTGAGCTGTGGGGGCCTCAATGGGGGGGCAGCTGGTCCACCCCCACTGGAGGGTTCTGGGGCCACCCAGATTTCTTCTTTTTCCATCCTCCTGGGCCTCTGGGGAGCTGCAGAGGTGGGGGCTCCCCGAGGGCTTGGGAGCTGCCGGGCTGCATTTCTGTGCCCACCCAACCACGGGGAAAGGGGGGACGGATCAGAGGAGGGAGGCTCTGGCAGGTTGGAATTCTCCGCTGCCTGTGGATAAATTGTCCCTAATCCAGGCTTGGGGAGTTGTCTGGCTCCTACAGAGAGAGGAGAGAGAGAGATAGGGAGAGGGGGAGGGAAGCCGGCATACAAACACAGTGACACAGACACACTGTCTCACAAAGGGTCTCTCACATGCACACGCACGCACACACGCTGACGAGTCACACAAAGGTACCACACAAACGCTGCGGCCCGTTGTGCTGACAGGCACACAGAGCCTCTCACGTGTTGCCACTGGCGCAGGCATGCAGTGACATAGCACAAGGACCCCCTGACACGCGCAGGCACTCAGTGCTAAAGTCACACAACGCACACATGGGTGGACACACACCAGCACACGCTGACCCGCAGGGACACCATGACCCCGACAGTCTAGAGAGAGGCGGGGCGGTGGGGGCAGCAGTGCTGATCCACAGTGACATCAGTGCCTGCAGTTGGAGGCCTTGAGATTGGGACGTGCAGAGACGCAAGGGCCAGGCACACGCACACACGCGCGCAGGCTCACAGGCTCACACCCAGCTGTGAGAGGCAGGAGTGGGTTTTGCTCCTGACACAGTGAGGTACAGGGAACCAGGCAGCGGATGTCCTCAGACTGGCACACTCAGACCTTGAACAGCGGGGCGCACGTCGGCACACACTGGCACCTCCGTGTCCTCACAGCCATTCACAGGCTCAGCTGGACACACATGCAAAGCAGAATAGTCCCAGGTGCTCACACCCACCCACAAGTAACTGCACACCAACCCACTACATATCAGCCTCACACACACAGCTGAACACACAAATCACAGCCCCCACGTGTACACTGCAACCGAGGAGGCCAAAGAGACGCAGGGACCCACATACAGGTGCATTTGCCCAGACAGCCGGACGGTCACAGGCAGTTGTCCATACAGGCAGGACCTCTAGCAGACGACCACATTCCCGGGCAACCAGAACCTGCAAGCAGCCCGGGCGGCCTGGCTCCCAGACCCCCTCTGGGCTCCAGTACAGACCTCAGGGAGGCAGACAAATGGGCCGGAAGCAGGGGGGTAGCGAGAAGGGCCAGGCCATGCTTATTAAAGAAAACAAGAGACGTAACCGGTTGCTGATGGAGAAGGGTGACTGCAGCTGCATATACACCCCTTGTGGAAATTTCATTCACCGTTGCTCTGAGCAGCAACTCACACCTGCGTTTTCAACGAGCTTGTAACATTCACTGTTTCTCCAGACTGCCCCTCCCCATTCAGAAGATCCCCCCATTTTATTGACGACAAAACTGAGAACTAACAAAACTGAGAACTAGTGATGTTACCTGACTTGCCTAAGATCACACATTTAGTGAGATTGAACCAGGGTCTGGCTGGTGCCAAGGTCAAGTTCTCGCTAATGTGTGCATAGGTTCTCTTGTGATTGTACTTGCACGAGCAAAGGCACTGACTGCTTCCCAGCAGGAGCCTGGGGTTCGGGGAGGGGGCGTCACGGCTCCCCGACAAGATGAGGATGGGGCAGTTTCATGTACAAGACCCCATCTAGGACTGCCCTGGTCCCACGTCCCTCTGCACCCCACCCCTGTGGCTAACTCCTTCTGTGTCCATGCTTCTACTTATACCTGGGGTGCTGTGTTTGCTTCCACAGATGGGAGCTTGCCTGCCTGTTTCCCTGTTGGCCTGGACCCCAGAGCCTGTCCAGCTGAGCGTGTGCAGAGAGCCCTGGGTACGGGGTGACTCTCGGGCTACTGCGGAGACCACCCCGGAGTCACTGGTGAAGACAGATCTTTCTTGCTAAGCCTGGCCTGTCTGCAGAGCCTGCTCAGGTAACCATCTGGGGGGAAGCCAGTTCTGTGACTGGGCCACCTTGCAAGTGGGGTTCAGAAGGACTTACTGCCCAGTCGCAACAGGGGTCCCCTCCCACCTTAGGCCAAAAGCACGCCCTTTATAGAATCGGAACATGGTAATCCAGTTTACTCAGACGACCCGCTATCCAGAAGGGAAACTGAGGCCTGGTGCTCGACAGCAAGTCCTCTGGAGTCCTGCCTCCTAGTCAGGGAACTCTTCCCTGTACCTTGATCACCTGAGAGAGCTGAAAAGAGAAAGGGGCTGTGATCGTGACCAGAATTCAGGGCAGAGGTAGAAGCCAAGAGTGTCTAATGTCGATAGCTCACCCCTCTGCTGGAGGCTACAGAAGCTAGGAAGGTGTGGCGAGGTGCTGGGGGGGCCTGGGAAGTCCAGGTCAGCTAGGCTGCCCTCCTGGTATGAGCCCAGGCAGCGGCAGCGGCAGGACCTGTCTCCCTGCTCCTGGTCCAGATTAGCCCACCCAAGCTCAAGAGCCACAGAGGCCAGGTGGGGCTGCCCTGCCCTGCCCTGCCCTGCAGAGACAACTCCCTAAACTGACACACAAGCCTCCAGGCTCCAGGAAGCTCCCCAGAGCCCAGCCTGCCCAGGGACCCCACCCAACTTCCAAAAGAGCATTCCTGGGGACTGAGGTCTGGGGGTGGGGCCTGGGATCCGAAGGGCAGGGGGGTAGGGTATAGCAGGGCGCAGGGTTGTGTACCCCACTGTAAGCACACAGGGCGTCTGGTATGCGAGCACGCAGGCTTGCGTGCAGGCAGGCATACACACGCTGTTAGGTGTGCAGCGGGCTGCTACAAGAGTTACATAAGTGGACTGGGCTGGGGCCACTTTCCGGGGCCCTGGATGCCAGACACAGAGGAGTATGCAGCATTCGGGATGTGCCCTCGGCAAGTGTCAGAAAGCCCAGAGCTTTGTGTGTGCCTCCCTGGATAGTGCCTGTGTGCAGGATGCTAGTGCACACTGGCAGGGGTATGGAGACAAGAGCCTGAACACTGGGGGCCCGTGTGGCTACACCGGGACGGTGCGGTGTGTGTGCCCCGGGATCTCGCCCCATGTCGCTGGGCACGGGTGTGTTAGGGTGCACACGGGTGGGGGTGTGCACGTGGCTCGTTTGTGCTTTGGAGGTGGGCTGGGCAAGCCTTCAGCCTAGCTGGGCTCAGCAGTGCCCAGCCTTGTGGCCAAATCGCTGAAGTCACTTCCTTTCCAGCAGCAACTTTCCAGGAGGAGGAGTTCTTCAAACCTGGGCGGGGAGGGGGGGGGGGGACGGAACAAGGAGCTCTCAGGGGAAAGAGGTGGGCGGGGGTGAGAGGCGAGGGGAGGGCCTGGGGGGCTGGAGGAGGGGAGTCCTCTGGGAGACAGAAGGAAAGACAAGGACAGGAGTCTGGAAGGGCCAAGGGCAGGAGGGGATGGGGGTGGAGCAGGGCGGGAAGAACAGTCCCTGGGTGACCTCGGAGGGAGGAAGGGAGGGCCTCCCGGCAGGGTGACCCTCTGGTTCCGCCAGAACTGGTGTTGGTGCCCGCACACCTGGCACCCAGGGCAGGGGGCTGGCAGGGGGCGGGCCTAGGGCAGACCTGCTTGCCAGGTGCCCCACTCCGGGCAGGCAGGGGGTGGGCGAGGGGAGGGCAGCACAAAGGCGCTCTGTGTGGCTGGGGGTAGGGTGGGGTGGTAGCACTGTGCTATAGGGGGGCCCCCGATGGCTCCAGGGGGCGGGGCGGGGCTTGCTCCCCTTGGGGCATCAGCAGCTCTAAGGGGACACCTAGTGGCAAGGGAGGGTAGTGCACCTGAACGACTGAGGTGGGAGGGGATGAAGACGCTGGAAGGGGGTAGATGAGAAGTCAAAAATTAGAACTGGTGGTTGACTGGGACAGTTGGAGCTGCCTGCAGGGGAGGGGACTGGTTCTCTGAGGAAGTTTGGTTTAGTGGAGCCCAGCAAACCTAAATTCAGACTGCAGCTCCTCCATGTTCTGGCTGTTTGTCCTTAAGCGCATAGCTCAACCTCTCTGTGCCTCCATTCAAATGCCAAATAGGTGACAGTTGCCATTATTTTTATCTTTGTTGTTTTTGTTGTGATTTTGGACAGGCATCAGGTTGGAAAGTCTTCAGGTACAGAGTGGGTGGAAGGGGGCTGGAAAGCAGGCGAATCAGAAGGGTGATGAGTTGTTGCTGAGGGGGCAGGTGCTGGGAGGTGAGGGCCTGGGAAGGGAGGCAAGGTGGGGGGGGCTGCAGTAGCCCCTTTGAGGCAGCGTTTTCCATTTGAGAACATCCCTGGGCCTGCCTGGGAGGGAAATGGTGTGTGCTGGTGGGGGGAGGAGTATGTAGGCTGGAGAGAGGGTCATGAGGCCGGAAGTGAGCTGGGGCTGGCAGCCCAGCTCCCCTGGGGAGTCTGTGGGTGGGGGAGGGGGAGGCTGGCTGGGGAAGGGGTGGGGTGGTCACAGCCACAGCGGGGGTGGGTGGGGCCGGGGACTCAAGGATGTGGGCTGGCGCTTCCCGGCACCGTGCACAGCAGGTTAGCCCCCAGCCCCCACCCTGCGTGCTGGTGTCCCCCTGGGCAGGCCCAGGCACACTGACCCAGAAGCAGGCAGAGGCGCAGGAGGACCCTTTCGATTTTGTTCACAGAGCTGGGCTAGGTGGTCCTCTTGGGAGGGGGCCAAGAGAATGCTGGGTGTGGTGGGGAGGAGAGCCAGCTGCTTCCCTCAGCCCCTGGAGCCTGTGAAAGAGAGCGGTGGACAGTCAGGAGGTCTGGCGGGAGGACATGCCCAAAGGTCTTCACGGGTGGGTGGAACAGAAGCAACCACGGGAGAGGAGGTTTTGCTCTTCTGCCAAGATCATACCCTCAGGCCCAAGTGGGAGGTTTCCTGAGCAGGGAGGTTTGGTGAGCTCCACCCTCAGTGGGGGGTGGGGGGAAGTGGTGGCCTCTGGCTGGCATCTCAAGGAGGGCATCAGGAGCCCCAGGGTCAAGCGTGGGAATCGGACTGGGGAGGCCAGCCCGAGCCCCTTCCCTCCTTTGTGACGGAGGAGACACGGTCCTTCCTGCAAGAGCAAGGGTGAAATTCTTGAAGCAGAGCGAGCTGGCCTGGGAGGGGCGAGTCCACAGTCCCCTCCAGGCCTGGGGCAGAGCAGAACCCTGAGTGAACAAGTAGGCAGGAGCCGCTCCGGCCGGGAGCTGCTGAAAGGGGAGGATGACAGAGGATGTTCTGCCCCGGTGAACAGCAGAACCGCCCTCCCTTGCCCTTTCGTGGCCTCAGGCAAAGTCTCTTTCTCTCCTGAGGTCTCAGTTTCCTCATCTGTAAAATGGGAGGAGCCCCAGGTGGCTCTAGAACAGTGTATCCGCTGGTTGGCTGATTAAAAATACAGATTCCCAGATGTCCCTTCAGCCGCATGAGTCAGACTGCCCTGGACGAGGGCCTGGGTATCTGGAATGTTACACTGCTCCTCCAGGCCCAGGCTTTGGGAGCCAATGGGTTGGATGATTTTAAGTTTCCTCCCAGCCTTAAATTAGACCACAGCTCTAGAAGGAGTATTTTCAGGAGTGACTGAAGGGAAGTTGCAGGAGCTGAGAGGCGAACGGGGCTTTGGACTTAGGGCAGAAGTCAGAATCCTGCCACTCCGTGACTGCAAGCAAGTTACACAAGCACACTGAGCCCGTTTCACGTGTAACAGAGGGAGCGTGAGCTCTGCCTCCAGGCTGCCGCGTCATGGGTCATCCAGTGCGGTGTTTTGTCGATTGCAAATCGCTGCCCACCAGAGGGGACCGGAGGGGTGTCCCTTTGAACACCACCTGTTCCACAGTCAGGTCTGCAGTCTTCGTTTGGGTGCGGGCAGTGGCAGTTGGCACTCAGTGAGAGTCCATATGTCTCTGGGGGGCGGGGCGGGGGGCGGTGGTGTGGATCCTGAGGATCGGATCAGGACTAAGCACAACACTGATTGGCGTCAGTCTTTTATTTATTTATTTTTTAAAGATGTATTTATTTATGCATAGAAGAACTGGGGTACAGGCCAGAGATGCGGAGGGTGAGAGGCTTCACCAGAGACAGAGTGGGGAGCAGAACAGGCAGATCGGCGAAGTACACTGCTGAGGGGAGCAGCGGGCGGGTCAGGAGAGGTCTTCCGTGCCATGTGGGTCACCTCCGGGGCGGGGATCAAACTCAGACCACAGGGGTGATAGGGTGATAACGCTGAGACTTAATCTAATTGGGGTCAGTCTTAAAGCCCCTCACAGTGGTTAGGGTCCATCTAGCTTTCCTGTTCCCCAAGATCATGGTTCCTGGGGATCAGCAAGAGCCCTGAGTCCCCAGGCTCCCTTGAGAGTCTGACTGACATGCCTGGATCTAAGTCCCAGCTCTGCTCTGACCAGCTCAGGGAGTTAGTCAGTAAATATTTATATAGCATCCATAGCCTGGGCCCTGGGGTCAGGGTGTAAACAAGACAGGCTGCCCCTGGAAAACCTGCACTTCAGTTGGGGGAGACACTGAATAGCCAGCCATACACATAATTGATTATAATTCAGATAAATACTGTGAAGGGGGGGCCCTCCCTGGTGGCGCAGGGGGTTAAAGTACAACCCTAGGAAGCTCTCTGCAGCCATTGCAGCACAAGTTTGATCCCCAGCCAGGGAGCTGACCCACAGGGCACGGCAGACCTCTCCTGACCCGCCCACCTTTCCCCTCAGCAGTGTATTTCAGTGGATCTGCCTGTTCTGCCCCCCACTCTGTCTCTGGTGAATCCTCTCACCACCCTGCATCTCTGGCCTGTACTCCAGTTCAGTAAGCATAAATAAATAAATCTTTTAAAAAAGATACTGTGAAGGTGAAAAAGACAGGACTCAAAGAAATGGAGCAAGGGTCAGAGCAAGCCCCGAAGTGGGGTGGGGGGAGCCTTTCTGATAAAGGTGGAGGCACAGCCAGAGAATGTCCCTTTCCACATTCTTGTCCCCTGCCATATCCTTCTTGAGTTGCACTTTGGGGTCAGGAGATAGCATCGTGGGAAAAGGTAGGTCTGATTGCTCCACGGCACGTCTCATCCAGTCATTCTCGGACTCATCCAGTAGGAATTCTTCAGGCACACTTCTGGGTCACATGCTAATCTGGGTGTTGGGAGATAAGCACAGAAGTAGACAGGGCAGGTGTTCGTGCTTTCATGGTCCTGACCACCTCCTGCTTAGACTGTTTCCTCATCTGTGAAAATGAGGTGATGATCGCATTGACCTCAGGTTTACAAGGGGGTGAGATGAGACGACCCATATGTAACAGTCTTAGCCCAGTGTTTGGAAACAAAGAAAGTGCTCAAAGCTGTGTCTTTATTGTTGACTCCTGGCGTGATCGTCACATCTCCGACCTCGGCACTCTTCGCTTTTTCACAGCAGTGCTAGTCGTTACGTCACGTGTGCTTCTCTGGTCAGTGTTGCTCTGCCCCAGCGTGCGAGGTGGCGAGTGTTGGCCTACCCTCGTGTTTAAGGTTGGTGAGTGTTGCTCTACCTCCGTGTGCAAGGTGGCGAGTGTTGGTCTACCCCTGAGTGCAAGACAGGCGTGTCATAAATAATGAATGCGAGTGAGTGCTATTGCTGCTTCTCTGAGCTTCCATTTCTTCATCTGCAAAATGGGGTTATTGATAGCCCCTACCTCGCAGGCTTGGTATGAAGAATTAAATGAAACGATCCCTGGACAACTTCCGGCCCAGTGCCTGGCGCGCAGTAGGTGTCCACTAAACCTGAGCTGCGATGGTCCTTTCCAGGCGCTGTCCAAGCCCCCTCGGCCTGGGCTCAGGCCGGAGCCACTCCACAGCACCCCCAGCGGACAGCTAGCAAGTGGCAGAGCCCCCAGGCTTGGGGGCCCTCGCTCTCCCAGGTTAGCGGGGTATATGTGCTGGAGGGGCACCGAGGGGGTGGCTATGCGGAGGAGACTGGGCAGGTGGGCACTGGTTGGGTTGCGGGCACCAGACACCCATCTCTCCTGTCTTATTGCCCACAGAGCTCTCCAGTGACAGCCCAGGCGGCAGAGCCGAGGGTGAGTGGCTGGGGTTCCCCTGGAGTTTAGGGGGTGAGACTGGGAAGGAAGAGGCCCTGCCTTTGTTGGGACTTCCTGCCCCCTGGCAGGGCCTGACCCTCTCAAGTTTGGTCTGGGTGGCCACCCCTCCCTGCTGGTGGACTTCCCTCTCTAAGGCAGATGCCCCACTGTCCCTGAGCCCATGGCCAAGATCCAGAATGGGGTGAGCTCTCAGTAGGTGGAACGGGGACCCTCGAGGGGTTCATTGTGCATGTGGTGGTTTGGATAAAGCGGAGCGGGGGAAGCTTGGGACTGGGGTGCAGGGCTCATTGAGGACATGGAAAGCTAAGGAGGACCTGGGTGATCCGTCAGTGAAGGACCTTCTGTCCTGCCCGGCAGGTCCTGGTCCCGGCTTCTCGCACCCTCATGTCAGCCCCGGCCCCGCCCGGCGGCCCGCGGAGGACAAGGTCAGGATGCGTGTGAAGCCCCAGGGCCTGGTGGTGACTTCCAGTGCCGTGTGCAGCTCTCCTGACTACCTCCGGGAGCCCAAGTACTACCCCGGCAGCCCCCCCACCCCCCGGCCTTTGCTTCCCACCCGGCCCCCTGCCAGCCCACCCGACAAGGCCTTCGCCCACACCTTCTCCGAGAACCCACGCCCACCCCCTCGCCGGGACCCCAGCACCCGGCGCCCACCAGTCCTTGCCAAGGGGGACGATCCGCTGCCCCCTCGGGCAGCCCGGCCAGTCTCCCAGGCCCGCTGCCCCACACCCGCCGGAGACGGCAGCAGCTCCCGACGTCGCTGGGACAACGGGCGGGTGAACCTGCGTCCAGTGGTGCAGCTGATCGACATCATGAAGGACCTGACGCGGCTCTCCCAAGACCTGCAGCACAGTGGCGTGCACCTGGACTGTGGGGGCCTCCGGCTCAGCCGCCCGCCCGCTCCGCCTCCCGGTGACCTTCAGTACAGCTTCTTCTCCTCCCCCAGCCTGGCCAACAGCATCCGCAGCCCTGAGGAGCGGGCCACCCCCCACGCCAAGTCCGAGCGGCCCGGCCACCCCCTCTACGAGCCCGAGCCTGAGCCTAGGGACAGTCCCCAGCCAGGCCAAGGCCACAGTCCCGGGGCCACAGCCGCAGCCACTGGTCTGCCCCCAGAGCCTGAGCCAGACGGCCCCGATTACTCAGAACTGGCCGACGCTGACATCCTCAGTGAGCTGGCCTCCCTCACCTGCCCTGAGGCCCAGCTCCTGGAGGCCCAGGCCCTCGAGCCGCCCTCGCCTGTGCCGGAGCCTCAGCTCCTGGACCCCCAGCCCCGCTTCCTGGACCCACAGACCCTTGAGCCGCTTGGGGAAGCTCTGGAGCTGCCGCCCCTGCAGCCTCTTGCCGACCCTCTGGGGCTGCCGGGTCTGGCCCTCCAGGCCCTGGATACCCTGCCCGACTCCCTGGAGTCACAGCTGCTTGACCCTCAGGCACTTGACCCCCTGCCCAAGCTGCTTGACGTCTCTGGCCGCCGTCTGGAGCCCCAGCAGCCCCTGGGGCCCTGCCCACTGGCCGAGCCGTTGCACCTGGACTTATGCTCACCCCATGGCCCCACCGGGCCTGAGGGTCACCCCAAGTACGCCTTGCGGCGCACTGATAGGCCAAAGATCCTGTGTCGCCGGCGGAAGGCCGG